AATTTTTGGGAATGTCTTCTATATTGGTAGTGTATCYATTGYCAGAAACATCCATAGCATCTTCCYCTGTTAAAAGCACAAATCAAGTAAACAACACAAAGCAACATACCACGTTTATTTCAAGATTATTTTGAATTTAAAGYGCATGGCAAATAATACGTTGATAGCTAACCTCTAAATCTTAGCATGTAGACGTAGTTTGTATCTTTTTTGCCAACACAATTGTGTTTGTTAGCTTTAGGATCTTCTTGGCACGTTTCATAGTCATCTGACAGGCATTCGTTGGACTGTCCTACTCGATTGTATGTGTTTCCACCAGCCCAGCATTCTCCTAATAAATAATAAAATTAGTACATTAATACAAAAGTGTGCTGTATTCATATGCCAGTAAGGGATCTATTAAGAGGTGAATTCCTTTAGACTTAAACTGATCCCGCATGGATGAGCACAATGCTATTTCCTTATATGGTGTTGCACGTGAGTACTAACCGAAATTTTGAATCCCAAAATAGTCATGTTTCTTTGCAGCGGCAACTTCTGCACATCTGCAMACTAAGTCAACCATGTAGTCATTCCAGCTACCCCAATCGATTTCATAACCACTGTTTAGACTGTCAACAAATAAGCGTTCTTTCAATGGTCTTGGCTGTTTGCTGTCGTCCTTGAAACAACCCACTTTATTATAGCCTATGTTACAWGTTGGGTTGTCCTCTTGAAAACAAAGTAAAGAGTTCACAAGGATTCAATAAAAAATAATCGAATCAAGTAACAAACAATCCACCCTTCTGGCYTACTAACTTTACCTAACCAGTTACAAATACCAGGGGGGCACTATCCAACCAATGGTAAACAACCATTAATTTTRATCAAGCTCAGACCAAGCTAAAAAAATACTCAAGAACACTTGAGACTTACTTATGATCTTGGTCGTATTTATCTTCGGTTTTTGCATTGTTTTGTATAGCATGACTGATGCGTTTTGTCCAATGCAGTAGTGGTTGTTTGGCATGCAAGTCTTATTCTCTAGATTACTACATGTGAAACATGGACGCTGGGCAGTAACAGTATTATAGGTATTTGGWCCTGTCCAACACTCACCTGGATAAAGATGATTAGTAAGAACTCTATTAATTACATGGACATTCAACTCGTAGTATAGAATTCTAGAATGTTCCTTCAAATTTCAGAGCGATACAGGCTTTAATATCCCAGCATTTTGAGAGTAATCCAAAAAGGTGTAATGCATTTGTTGTCGCTTATCAATTTCAAAGGACAACAATGAAGGAAAGGATAACAATCTAGCTTCGGTAATTATTTGAAAGACGACAATCTCCTCACTCTGAACACCACACGTCTTCAACGTGCAGTTGTCACGACTATGACAGCATGACCAGATATTATTAAACTGTCAAAAACAGCAATGTTGTACTAATGTAGTTTATATCCCTGTATAAAACTAAACGTGAATGTACTCACCAAAGCTTTTATTTTGCGCGCTATCAATTTTATAACTAATGGCAAAATATCCAGGGTTGACTACCCTTCCGGCGATTTYTGAGCATTTGCAAGCCAGTCGAAGCACGTACTCCTTCCAATCCTGAGGTTTCCCTAGTGTTACATTGATAAAAGCAAGCCTGTAACAGTTACGTGGTTGCGGTTTARTGTAGCATCCCAAAAAATCTCTTTGATACTGGTACATCGGGCATGACTCTTCAACTATAAATTGAGAGGAGCATTATTAAAAGCAGTGAATGGTTTGTGTAAGGGTAATGGTGCAATACTTACTTGGTGGCTCTGGTTTAGGAAGGTCTGGATGTTTTTGAGGAAGGTCTGGGATAGGTGTARCAGGTCGTCTCTTGGGAGGCTCAGTAATAAGAGACAATTTCTTGGGGAATTTTACTAAAGACATTTTGAATGGAATCAGTTAGTATTCGTACTCAATCATTTGCCAGCATTTCCAGATAGACTGGTAATTTTCCCTCCAGATTCTCACTATAGCAAAGAAGTATTCAACTAGATATTTTCCAGTTTTAAATGATGCATACACCATTCTTTATAATCGAAGAGTTTTTGCATTCAATAGCTGTAAAGCTTAACATTACTTGTTGSTAGAGGTAACATTACAGTTGGACGAGATAAGCGTGGACAAGGACATGACGTCGGGGTGGGACAGGGACATGGCTCTTTGGGACATGGACAAAGAGGTGGAGCTGGGCACGAACATGTTTCGCGAACTTGATATAGAGGATTTGATTCTGCTAAGAACAAAAGAGCAAAGTAAAGTCAGTTTTAACTGCACTGTGTTTAGAAAATGTTGTTATTTTTCAGTTTTAAGGAAAAACATCAGTCAATGATATTCTCTAAAATCTAAATAACAAAAATCTGAAATGTAAAATTAAAATCAAAAACCTTTTTGTGGTAGTGCACTACATTGCAAAATAAGTAACATTCCAAAATGAATCATGAGYAAGYCAGCATMCATCTTTAAGCAARTTTGCACAACGAAGTCCTAACAATCTCCTGCAAGAATAAAAGTCCGGTTTGAAGTAGTTGTATTTATAATTTTGCAGGCCATAAATCGACGATCTTTGATTAGTTCCGATCGCTATTACTGAGAAAGTGTTGTAACGGTAATGGATTTGACTGACATCATCAGTTACYTTGATCACGTAATCCCTATGAATGATTGTTTACCTGTTAATTTACAATTTTTAGTTTATGACTTTTGATGAGTGGCTTATTCCTAACATGGCCATCTCATGGGAACATGCTGTAGTACCTGCGGCATGGTAAGATGAAATAAAACATTTCTTACAGTGTAATGYGCATTAAATACAGTACTGAKTACCTAGAAGCAGCAACCTGAGCAACCTGAGCAACCTGATTAGAGATTGTTTGCTTTAGGCAATCAAGGTGATCAATTACATGTAAAACGAAGTGATCTWGGGAGCTGATGAATCACGGCACAGACATCCCGTGCAGCACCGATCCGATCGGAAGTTCACGGAAACTCGTCGGGAATTGGTGCCATATAAGTTGACAAAACATCACTTCTGCACATTTTTTATTATTTCTCTTCATGCAAGGAAAACTAAGAGAGTTTACGTTTATAGCTGAGGACTAGGGGAACGGGATAAGTGTTAGTGAGAGCAAAAGTACAGAAAACATGTAATATCGAAAAGTRCAATATGTAGMCGAAGCGGCTGAGAGTAGATCTTTAATGAATGATTTCTCTGTCTACAGCATCATCAKGGAACGAGCGAACAAAATTATACATAGAATTATAAGAGTGAAGCGGTCGTAAGCGAAACTTGAACAGATGTATAGTCAATAGCAATGTTTGAGAGATTTGAGAACATTTGCTTTGTTCTTTTGTCTTTTTCTTTTATCACAAACGTGCTTATATAGGTACGAGGCTGACCAACAAACACTTCCTTGGTTATATCAACTTTATTTCGTTTCTTATATTTCACAAGTAAAATCACTCAATACCGAATATCTAATTCAGCATAGTTGCAGTCCAGGTAAGTTGTTTGTTATCTGAATAAGGGGAATCCCAGGTATACAAAGCCAGTATAGACAACAACTCTAATACTGAGAGATATAATCAATAATGGAATTGATAAAGTTCAAGCAAGTCTGTAAACACAGTTAGCATTTCTTTGGCCGACGCATTGTGTTGTAGTAATGCAGTTKGGTGAGTGACCATCGATATGGTAACTGTATGCTGCTTGTGGACCTGACCAGCATTCACCTGAAGTCAAAGAGACAAATGTTAGCAAAACTTCGTCTTTACCGCTTAGAAGCTACGCTCGTGTTCCTAAGCTTGCTTCTCTCGTGTTTTTCAACTCCCACACCGTGTTTATATCAGAGGAAAGAGACACGAGCGCCGTTTTATATTTCTTAAATACTGAAATTCAGCCTCAAAAAGGCCAAAAAATTAACAATTATTTAGTAAGTTCCACTGTACAAAGSACACTACTGCATTGCATCTAGTATATGTGCGTACCGTTGTGTTTCAGTCCAAAGTGGGTAAAKCCTTGMCTGTGTGCCATRCGTGCACAGCGGCAAGCSAGGYTTGGTGTGTTWATGGTTCTTTTGTAAGGCTCTTCCATGTCATCACGTATCATCAGCATAGGTAGAGGTCTGGTGCTAGCATACTTGTCACCATAACAACCAAGGTTTTCGTAACTGAGTTCACACAACGGGCTTATGTTGATTGCCACTACTTTGTCTTTGGAAGAATCATAGATGGCATGAGKTTGGTCATCATGATCATCCGTGTCATCAACATCTGGTTCCTTGGCCTCTTCCTTCTTGTCATTCTTGTCTTCACTATCATCATGTTTTTCATCATCATCATCATCTTCCTCGTCATCTTTAGTAGTCCTGTTATCATCATTGTTGTTTGTTTCATTGTCTCTTTGATTATCACTGTCATCATCTTCATCACCTTCTTCATCGTCGTCGCCATCACYGTTGTCGTCGCCATTATGAACTTCATCTTGTATGTCTTCATTGTCAAGGTCAAAGTTATCTTCTAAAAAAAATATTGGAACACACATCGAGTCAGTGTAGATAATGTTTTTAAGACTCTAGGATTAACAATCGCGTTGATAAATTGTGGCTCACTTTGAGAGAAAGATAGATCAAGTTACAATCCTGTAGGCTGGGCAGTTTCGAAGGTTTGGCGGGAGAACCATACCCCCCCCCCCCCCCCCCCCCCCCCCCCCCACAAACCCCCCACAAGCTTGAAAGGTCCGGTGCTTCTTTCTTTTTATTGTTCTTTCTTAAAATTCTTTTGTTATATGAACTGTTTAATTTTTGAGATCATTTTGTTATGAATTGCTCATTCTAGCAGCCAGTTCTTATACACTATACCTGTGCATTGAACTAATTCAAAGTCAAACATTTAATTTAGGTCCGCATTATGAAAAATGCCCCCGCATTCCTAAGGCAATCTACGGTTCWGAGTTAATACTGAGGGCAGTTTGTAATTCATATTTAAATGTTGTATTGGCTTAAGGCTTGGCTATGAATAAAACGTAAGAAACATAAACGGAAAGATTTTGCCTTCGTTAGTTGAAGTTTGACGAAAAGTTAGAGCCTACCTTGACGATCAATCTTGTAAACAAAGTTAGTATGATTTCTGCCAACACAAAGCTGCTTTTTGTCCAGAGTTGTGTTACATGTTCGATAACCCTTTGTTACACATGCGCCTGACATTCCACTTCGATTATAGGACAATCCTCCTGCCCAGCACTGACCTAACATGCAGTTAAATAACCTGTTAAAACTGTGTTTTAAACATCCATTCAAAATCAGTGTTCATCCAACAAAAAAAAAAAAAACAAAACAGAAAATTAGAGTAAATAATTAGTACAAATACATGGCATTGATATAATCAACAAGTTAACAAATGGTACTAACTGAAATCTTGAATTCCGAAATAGTCATATTTCTTCTCAGCCGAAGCCATTTCCGCACATCTACACGCCAAATCTGGCAGGTACCTATCCCAGGCTCCCCATTCTACCATATGATCACCATGAGGCTTGTCAGTAAAAAAATAATGCTCCAATGGTCGTGGATTTTTCATATCGTCGTCAAAGCAGCCTACGTCTTTAAAAGCAATGTCRCATGCCGGGGGCGACCGGTCCTCTGTTGAAAATATCATCCGAGAATTAACKCACCTTTGGCATGAGATCAACGAGAACGTTAAACGTACACTGTTACTATTTTATAAAGTTACGATATACATGGTAATTGTCTATGAATTTGGAAAAGTGTGTTGTAGTGAGTAGGACCTCAAAGGTTTCCATGGACTATAGGCCTTTTCTGAGGTAGCAGTTTGCATTGCATTGTGCTCTAGATTCGGTATAAATCTTTTGTTCATGCTGCCAAATACGGCGTTGTTCAATCTCGTACCCAGCGCCACTGTCCCTCTTACTGTGCAAGCTCGACGAAAAACATTGACTCTAATCTCGTACCCAGAACCACTGTCCCTCTTACTCGCAGGCTCACAGGCTCGACGAAAAACAGAGTCTCTGGAATTTTCGAAAATTTCTCGCTCTCTGATTGGCTCATAAAATAAACAACTTGCCGCCGGAAGTGAAAATATCACCGAGAAAAACACTCAAATCATTCTGTATTTCGCTACCTCACCTTMAATTCTTCCTTTAAAAGCATTTTTTAAGTCTATGAAGTGGGCATTTGAGAGTAATATGATCAATTAAGTATAAAATGGAATACAGCGAGGCGACGAACTGTCACGCCATGATAATCACTAACCGTCACTGTCTGCTACGATCTGATCATAATAGATATCAAAATAGCTTCGAAGAAGATAGATTTATCATCTAAGGTCTAAAAAATCCCTTTTCTGACTTCGAAGGCTTTCATTTAGCCGATTTTCTTGAGTAAAATCAGTAAAATAAAGCYGTTAGATCGGGTTTCTACTGCKCATGGGTGAAATAGCCTGATTCTGGCTTCCGGTGTTTGATTTCCAGAGCCCCTGTTCTTCGWTGCGAGCCWGCGAGTAAGAGGGACAGTGGCGCTGGGTACGAGATTGCATTGGCTCTGGAGTACACGAAATATTCTCGCTCTCTGATTGGCTCATAAAATAAACACACTTGCCTCCGGAAGTGAAAATGTCACCGAGCTTCAATTTTAATTGTTCACGCTCAGTTTTAACACAATCTTTATTTYAGAAAATTCAAAATGTCGGTCRAAATTATTTGGGGGGCTGTAGCTTCCCAGCACCCCCTKCTCCGCGGTCCATGCAGTTACAACATAAATCCATACCTTTGACATCTTTCTCCTTACGCTTTGCTTGTAATAACATAACAGATTTGCCTTTTCCTATGCAGTGTTTGTTTCGGGAATGACAACGCCTTTTGAGCAAATTCACACACTTCTTGGACTTTTCCCTCTTGGTCATGATAGTAGAGTATGTCTGTATACCCGTCCAGCACTCACCTAACATTAGAATTGATAACACATCATGTTAACCGAGCCATCGACCGACCGAGCAATCCACCAACCAACCAATCAATCGAGAGTTCGATCAATCAGCAAGTTAGTCGGTCGGTCCATAAAATTCAATAGGCCTTTTGCATGAAACGGTCACATGGTACTAAATCCGCCATACTGGATGGCAAAAGAATGTAAACAACCTCAAAAACAAAAGGAATGCAGCCTGTCAAGCTTGACTTTTCTTTGTTTTGCACATCCCAATGGGTGTTTTGCCATCCAGTATGGCGGATTTTCTACCATGTGACCGTTTCATGCAAAAGGCCTATTCAATCGGCCTAGTGGATATTGAAAAGTAGGGGTAGATACAAGATTGTCATCTATGACGGTTGTAGGTTTCCAAGGAAGGGTCGCACTGACCAAGAAGGAGACACAAATTTATTAAAGATTTCATCATGGTTCGAGACTGCGCATGGAAGGCGGAAATACTAACTGGGTCCTCTTTGCCTGTAGAGCTACATTGTAATGTTTTATGTAACAAACACAAGAATATAGTAAACATACCATAGGTTGTGTTGCTTTTCTTGTTGTAATGATAATTTATTGCAAAAAATCCTCTTCCTTCRGTATTAAGTGCGATTCTTGAGCAATTACAAGCCAGGCTGAGAACGTACAAACCCCAATATTTGGGTCTTCCAATYGTTTTCTTTACATACTTTTTGAGAAACTTCGATAGATTTTCGGGCTTTTTGAAGCATCCAACCTTYCTGTAGGAGAATCTTTTGCAGAGTCCTTAAAATGAAAGATGAAATACATAATTCGTGATAATAAAATGATTCAAATCACCAACCCATGACAATGATGCAATCAACTGGGTGAACATTGAGAATTACCTTACCATCCTTTTATCCCTTCCCATTTATTACATTATATGTTTATTTATGTCGCACAGTTAATCACAACTGAACGTTTTTTAAAAAGTAATTACATAATTACTTTGTATAAAAACGTTTTTTTAAACTTCCGGGAATAAAAATTAATGTTATTGACGTTGCAATGAAGCTTTGAAATTCATATGAAATATTCTTGTAAAAAAAGTTAAATGTTATACATACAAATAATTTTGTCGTTATGACTTTACATCTGGACAAAGTTATGAGATTGACTATATATCGCGTCTATTCCCAGATATTCGCGCTCTGATTGGTCCAACGAGGATATCAGCTTGGACCCAGCCGCGAGTATACACAGCAAGACTTTTTTTGCTCACAATCGTCAATTTCGTCATATACGGTATAGTTGAAAACCTATAAAGGTATTCCAATGCATCTCGGAAGATGCAAAAGTGCTAGGGTGCTAGAGGGATGTTCTATAGGACCATAGTCTGCCTTTTAGTACTTAAACTGACACCACATCAGTTTATCATCATCATCATCATCATCATCATCATCATCATCATCATCATCCTGCGGCCTCGCCGAGATGTCTCGTACAACAGCTTGCCACAGTTTATAATCAGTTTATGATCACAAACAACAGTGTTACATAAAAATATCATTTACTAAGTTTTTAAGCAAAAATCGTAATTCTGTACATGATTAGTCAGAGCTTAGTATAAATCTTATAAGTCGGTAATTGCCGGTCAATGGCGAGTGCAATATCTTTTGATGTTATAAGTGATAAGAAGCGAGTGCAATATTATTTGTGAAACATCATCCTGCTTTTATGGATTCACATCGTAAATCAGTGATTTARTGCAGAAAAAGAGCAATACGAGAAAATAAAGAAAAACAAATATTATGCAAGTACTTGGTATTTGAGTGGGCCATTCTGGTTTTGGAAGCTCCGGCTTTGTTGGCGGCGCTGGTGGCGTTGGTCGTGTTGGTAGCTTTGTTATTGGTGTAGGTTTTGTCTCTGGCGGTAGCGTCGGTGGTCCTGGTAATTCTGTTACTGGTTTCACAGGCCATTTTCCTAAAATTGAATGACATACATTACATGTAATAAAAGAGCTTAAAGAGTTTTGGGAACGGAATGTTCTAATAAAAACGGATGTCAGTTGAATTTGTCCACTTCTGGAAGCTTGAAACGTTATGAGTACAATAAGTGCTTGAAATCATTAATTTCCTGAAATGCATTGAGACTTTCAATTGCTTGATGTACTCATGATAATACAATGTCATATCCAGAATTCGTCATTAGAGACAATTACTTCACAAGAAAGCATTGCATTGTTTGCAAAAGAAACACGGAGAATGAAACGAGAAAAACTGGACACCATTKGACCCCTATCTAAATACGCTCCAGTATATAAATACTTGAATGATGATTAGCAATTCAATGTGGACGTTACTTGTTGGTAGAGGTAATATTTCTGTCGGACAAGAACATGGTGGAAGTGTTGGACAAGGACATGGTTCTTCAGGACATGGAGGACAAGGCTGTGGCGCTGGACAGGAACAAGATGAACCATAATACCTTGGACTTGATTCTGTTGAGAGCAACATCAATAAAACCAGTTGAGAAACAGGTCTGACAAATCAGCGACTTCGCCAAATTTGTATCATAGATAACTCGAACAAGAGTTAGATATTGAGTTTCTGAACTGATCATGAAAACAAGGCTTTCCAACTAGAACTGCAAGACAATTTTGGGTTTCTTAATTACAAGCATTAGCCGTGGGCGCGACTAGCCGTCCAAGAACTAAAATAGTTAAACTGAGATTCCCGATTTCATCTTTCTGGTTGAATTGCAATGCACARCAAAACTGAAGAGGCTCGCCAGGGATTATCTATTGTTCCCTCGAAGCCCCTTAAAATATAATATAATACAATACAATATATTCATTTCCTTGTTCACAATTATTTTTTGCGTTTTTAGTCAATCAAAAGCTCGWAGGAGGACTACAAAATGTCAACGTTTAGCTACAAGACCAAGCTCRTTATTTCAGTCAATTCTAGTACAGCGAGAAGAATTTATCTTTCATACCAAACCTCAGTGTCACAAAGATTTTGGTTGTTATACTATGTTTTGATGTGATTTGTAAAAGAGACTCACAAACTTATGGAAAAGTCTTCATTCAAATCTAAAATCAGGTGAGGTTACTATAAAATAAAAAAAATTACAAAGCACTGTTGTCACCACCTGCAATGCATTAATGGTYATTGTAGGTTAAAAGCACTAATTATATATCATGAATATTTCATTGTACTTGGRAAGCAGATCATGTGACTTGATACTTAAACTTTGATGATATAAYTTTTGACAAATCCATGAATTTGATTTTTTAAATATTTTCACAGGCAGTCTCACCAGAAGAAAAAGCAAAACTTTAAGTGTGCTAATCATTTCGAAAAATACTGATTTCATT